CCCCCCCCCCCCTCCCTTTTTTTTAATGCAACAGAGGGATACAAATATGCATAGAACAAAAGATACTAGGAAGAACCAAATTGAAGTTGGACTTTAAAGAATTTCGATGATGTACGAACCTGATCTTGACCGTTTAGTGCTTGACAATTCAGGAGATACGAAAGCTGTCTTCTCTTTTCTTGCTTGTTTACCCGGAGTTGCCTTTGCATTAACATAGAAATGAAAAGTTTAGAGCTAAAAGAAAAAAGAAAAAAAAATCAGAAACCAACAACAAGAAATGAGAGAGCAGATGACCATCGGTGATTAAAACTGAAAGACAGCCCTAACCTTATAATGCAAGAACAATATTTGGACGCTGTTAGCCAGAATTGCAAAATGCGAGTCTCAATCCCGGTTACACAAAATAACCAAGGTACAACTAATACATACACGTTCCAAATGGTAGAAACTTACCTCCACGTCAAAGTTGATCCTCCTCCAGTCTTCATCCTGGACACATTTCTCTTTACTTTCACCTTTCCTCTTAGAGTGATTCAAAGCCCTAACCTTACCATCGCTTTTGACAGACTTGGTCGCTTTATTCGGGTTCTCTCTCTTTGCAAACTCGGCTGTCCTTCCATTTTCTTTTGATTGCAAACATGGAGATGCCCTTGTTTCCTTACCTTTAACTCTACACTGTCCCGAACTTTCAGACTCTTCGGTAGAACACTTCCTCAGCTTTTTTTCTTTGCTTGCTGGATCAGTATGTCTTTTAACAAATCCATCAACTTGGGAAGCTGAAGATTCTCCTGGAACAGTAGTGGCGACCTCAGATGATACCACGTCATCCACAGATCCATCTCTATCATCATTCTCTGCATCAACAGTCTTAGCCTCATCAAAATTTCCATTACTTGTCGCCATGATTGGTGTTGGGACTGTCGGCAAAGAGTTGGAATGCTCTCCACAGTAAGAGGGATTCGAGACTTTAGCTGTATCGCTTTTCCTTCCGTTCTCTGTGTCGTTTTCGCTTGATTTTAATTGCAAGCGTGAAGATTTTCTCACTGTATTTTGTTCAACTTTGACCTCTTCTGATGTAACAGGAGGCGCAGTGTTACCAGTCCGTGTGTTTCTGATCATGTCTCCTGATTTTTCTCTTGGCACAGCCATTTTCAACTCGGGTGATCCAGACTTGTCATCAGTGCTATCTTCATCATTAGCCTTTGCTGTGTTATTCTCACCAATACCGATTTTAATTTTGCTTTCTAGTGGACTTTCTTTGTTCTTACATGGCGTCGACATGAGACGATCAGCTACATATATGATATAAGAACCAAACACTTTAAGCAATGGATGCAGAAAAAAACATGTAAAATTAGAGACTAGCAATCACAAACAGCAATCATGAGATTTCGAAATGTTAAAAGTAATGCGATCTCAAGTTTTAAACCTGTATGAATCCTCAGAGTCACAGAGTCAGTTCCAGCTCCACTAGAGGATTCTCCTTTAAAGCATTTGTTACTAATTTCTTCCCAACGAGGAGGAAATCCGAAGATGAAATGACTGAAAATCTACTCACAAAACCACCACAAAAAAACAACTCAGTAAAAAAAAAATGGTATCAAGGGATAGTGACTATTGTGAGGCAGTGGCACTAACAAAATCGTCTACAATCGAGAATTAAAACGTTAACAAGAGCAATTGCTACTAAATTATAAATCTGTGAGAATGAAAATATACCTCGGGGCTAAATCCACCATTTGCAGATCGTTCTTTGTTAATCAAACCTTTGAGGAGGATGCAGATCCCATCAGATGTTTCAAGAGTCCAAACATCAACGGCTTTAACAATGGGGGCAGATGTAAACACACGCATAGCCCGTCGTCTGCAAGCGGAACGGTGAGATCATCTATATCTAATCATAAAATTAGGGCATCATAAATCACAAACCCGAGTTATAGCTTCATACTCCACAAAATTCTAGCCCATCCTCGGAATTTAATGTAACATTAAAGAAACAAAGACCACTATACCCTCCATTATACTCTATCCTGTTTCATTTCTACTCTCGCAATCTCGATTCAGATCAACCAAAATCTTCAGTACTAGGGTTGTATTCGAAATCCTACAGCTTGGAACATGATTGTGATCACTAGTAAACCTAAACAAAACCCAAAAGAGTTAAAAGAAAAATAATGAGAACCCTTATGAAGAAGATATGAAAAAGTAAAAGTGAAGATTTCATCGTACTCTGTGGAAGCCATGAGCTCGGTACCAGCAACACCAAATCGTTTCCCTTCAAATTCGTCCGGGCACTTAATCAGCCACCAATCTCTCAACATCACCTTTCAATAATCTCACGAGAAAAGCTAAGTAACTGTTCGGCACCCAAAACGATTCGCCCGAAAAAAAATCATTTTTTTTTCCTCGCAGACCCTTACCGTTTTCTGGAAGCACGACGAATTGCAAGTGGCGTCATCACCTTTCATCTCCAGAATATGAACCATGGAGCGGATAACCGATCTGAAAGCAGGTGATTAAGAAATGTAGAGACGATCTTGATCTTCGTTGTAATCGAAATTCTTCAAAAAATGAAATCTAGGGTTTTTAATTTCCGAAAGAAGAATGCAATGATTGTGGTTTGGCGGGCGTTACGTTGCACCCTTTTGATGTCGCGGGAGATGCGAGCCGGTTTCCCCAGGCCGGTTCGATTTAAACCGGATTTCTCGGTTCTAACAAATATAATCCATAAACTTGATTCTTATAGTTTGTATAAACTAATCAACGTCAAAAATTAAGGTGAATTAAAACTTGATATAAATATGAACCACAAAGTGGCTGTAGTTTAGTGGTTAGAATTCCACGTTGTGGCCGTGGAGACCTGGGCTCGAATCCCAGCAGCCACATTATCTTTTTGAATTTTCCTTTCCGACCTGAAACGACGTCGTCCTGCATTGCCCCCCCCCCCTTTTAATTGGAGCCAGAGCCCTCTTCGTCTCTCTCATCTAATCGACTGCGAGGTCTTCATCGTTGCGGGTTCTTTCTGCCTCCATCCAAAGGTGATCTTTTTTCCTGAATTTTCGTTTTTTTAGATATCTGGATTTCAGCTTGCGGGGATTCTTGGATCTTAGGTGTGAATTTTGGTTCTTTTAGTTCTTAGGATTAAACCAGTGATCTGATAAGACCCTTTATCTATCTTATCTCGTATGCGAGATTCGATGCATGTCTGTTTCGGACCATCAATGGATTCATTTTTTTTTATTACACATGATGCTGGGCTTAGCCGGGGTTCGTGCTCTGGATCATGTGTTTCGTCTTTTGGTTTTGTACCACAACTTAGTTTCTTTTACAGCTTCTCCTTTTGTAGCTGACTCTGGATTCATACTCTAACTTTGCGTAGCAATTTGATGGAAATCATTTTTCTGTTCTGGGTCTGATGCGGAATTTTTCCTGATGTGTTATGATCAGATTGCTAGTACTTTGGGCAAAAATGTATATACAAAGAGTCGTGTGTAGACGCACCTGTGTTTGTCAAAAGCTAAGCTTTTCTTCTGATCCTCTTCTTGTTATCACGGTGTTGCAGATGTTTGACGATCAAGACCTCGGCTTTTTCGCCAACTTTTTGGGGATCTTCATTTTCATACTGGTGATAGCTTACCATTTTGTGATGGCTGACCCGAAATATGAAGGCAACTGAGGTTTAATCCATGTGGTTTTATTACAACTTCCCATGTTTAGATATTTGACCACTCGGGCAGAACTTTATGTACTTTGACTTTGAGACTCGTTTTTGCTGGATATAATTTCTTTTAGCACTTGTTATCATATGTCTGCAAAAACTTTTACTTCTACTTTCCTCTCGTGCGGTATAATGATCTCATTTCGAAAGTATATCGTTGGGGTTGGACATCTCGAAGTAGTAGAAGTGGCAGGTAGCGTTTATGAGCGAATTGAAAACCCTCATCTGCAAATTTTCCAGCCTTCTCTCTGGTTTCGGTGCTTGCTTTGAGATCTCAGGGAGTATGTGATTGCTGTGAAGAGTTCGAGTTTCGTTTTTTCAGGTTTAAAACTGTAGGTGAATTGTGAAGAGTTTTGGGTTAAGGTTTTCTGATTCGAGATTGTACTTACATGTTGGATGAATGGCTCTGTCTGATCAACCTCGAGTTCGGTTTCTTTTTCCTTGTTAAGGGAGAAAGCAACTGTCTTTAAAATAAGCCGAAGCTATATACATGTTTTCTCGTTTATAAATACGAGAAACTAGTGTTTTGAAGTAGGTTGCCTTCGTTTGTTGCTATACATGATGTTTTATGGTACATTTGCTCTTCTTGGACTGTTCAGTGTAAAGGATGAAGGATCCTGTTGATTACAACAAAAGTACATGTGTTTTTCTTTGGAAGTCTCCAAGTTAAGTAATTTGGAATACTCCTGTCTTAATGGCTATTGTTTCTTGCATCAATTTGCTGGTGCAGAAGCCGAGACTGCTCAAACAGAGAACTGTTCTGCTCTTGAGCACCTCTTCGGCTTTGCAGCTGCTAATCTTGTCAGCCGCTTCCTTCAGCAACAGCAAAAATGAAGCCGAAAACCTCTCTACGTCCTCTTGGTCTGGCCCCATTCTTCCCATCCTTGAGTGGCTGTTGTGTTGTTTTCCTGCTTCAATGTCATGGCATATCTTCCTCTTCTGCAACTCTTTTTGGAATCTTGCTAGAGAGTTGACTGATATAATCTCTTCGAAGCATTTTGCTGAAGAGTCGAGTTTTTCCTTGAAGGATTTTAGATCATGAGTGATGTGGTCTTGCAGTTCTTCCCAAGCAAACCCACATATCGGTTGAACCCGGGACAGGTTTGTGAGCCCATCGCTGATATAGAGACAAAGGTCCGCTATGTTTGAGAATGAACCCAAAAGCTCTTTGTAGCAGGTGGCGTTGAAGGGGTGGAACCAGAAGTTAGGCTCTAACATGGCTTCTGCTATGAAATTTTCTAGTGCATCTACATGATTCTTGAGTTTTGCCTGCTTTTTTCTTAAATCTTTCAGGACTGACACTGGCCCGTTCTCTTGCTCAGAGCAAAGAATCAGGCACTGGATGCAATCTTGGAGTGCTTCTAGACAATGTGAAAGCTCGGTTTTTGCTAGTGTTGCTGCTCTTGCAGGATTAAAGAGAAGCTCTGTGAAGATAAAACAGAGTAACCCAATGGAAACTTCAACGATGCGAGCAATTGCAAACTCGGTTGGAGATCTGTAGTTTCTCCTTCCCAGTATCAGAACCGCTCCAATGGCGGCGGAAATCCCTCCAGCTTGGCCATACATTCTACTGTGCCTTAGGAAGCCGGTGAAGACTATCCAAGGTAGCAGAGGTAAGAACCTGAACTCTTCTAGTCTGTGGAAAACAGAACAACATAAGAGACTGTAGACCGATCCCATTGCTGTCCCTTGTAACCGAGCATTCGCTAATGCAAAAGTTGCCTGTCTTCCGGTCACAAGGCTGATGGCTATGGTCAGACCCGACCAATACGCATGTTCTCTATTATACATTAGACCAAACAATACAGCAAGGCCTAGGGAAACCGAGCACTTGAGTGCAAAAACCAGCCTCTCTCTGACCATCCAGGCAAAAAGATTATCCCAAATCCTTTTGGCCTTGAATGATCCTTCATTTTCAGAGCCAGTTACTTCCTTGGTATTAGCCTTATTTATGCATTGATTATTTTGAGTGCAAGGTAAGAGATCACCTCTTAAGAGTTCCACGCAGCACCAGAAGAAGCAAACCGGTAAATCCGGAGGAGACAGAGAACCAACCTCGAGATGCCACCGCGGCTTGCTTTCATCCTTGGTTTTGAGAGCTGAGACTGATCCTGGAAGAATGGAACTCCCGAGAGCAATCTGTTCTCTGGAACTTTCCAGAGAATGTCTCAGTTCCTCGTGTCTCAGATATATAGGAAAGGATCTGCACGATCCCAAGGCCAGTTCCATTCCCCTCAATGGAATTTCCATTCCTTGTAGTTTCTGTCCGAGATCTGTCTGCTTCTGTTTCTGCCCGAAGAATCTAGTTTCTGGTCGCTCCCATGTCATACCTTCCTGTTCAGAAGAACAGAATGCAAGATTATCAAAGTGTTCGTGACATGGAAGAAGTAAACAAAGTTTTTAAGTTTTAGCGTAAGGAATATATATCTATTATCAAGTGTGATATGATGCAAATGAAGCCTTAATTTTCTTTCTTTCCTCTGAGATATTTCGAAGAATTAGATTATGTTATAAAAGTTATTATGTTTACATTATGCAGTTTGATTGTCTGAAGGATAGATCTTGCTGTTGCAGAAAACGACCCGGCTTGTGCAATCAATGGTTGAGCTTCCGTGTTGTCTCGGGCTATCACGGCTTTCACAAACAAGTTCATCCTCTCTGAAGCATTCTCACCATATGATCTGCAAGCACTTTTCATCTGCCCAGCCAGTAAAAAGCATATAGGTAAGCCTCTGGTTACCGATTTACGCTTCTTCTCAATCACACAAAGTTGAAAACTTTTTCAGGCTTACCTGACTATGAGCCAAACGTGGAAAAGGGACCAGCATGGCCAGAAGAGAGGCAATGGCTCCAAGGGCTGTACTAGCCGCCACTTGAACCGGGTGCATGACCGGATGAACCGGCTCTCCTTCAAATATCACAAGTGACACATAGAGAATCACAATCTGCCCGAAAGCTACCCTTTTCGCAAGTAGACTCGTGGACTCAGGCAAAGCCACAATGAACACAGCCAGAGCAACAGCGGCTGCAGCCACTGGGCTACTGCTAAGCCAAGCTGGTGGAACCATCCTGAGACTCACCAGGGCGAGACCCATCATCTGGAAAGTGGCGTATGAGGCGTGAACACAGCCCCTCAACACATCACCGAGTGAAGAGTCGTGGTTAGATGACAAGATTATGATTGTGGTCAGGTAAGAAAAAGCTGGGAACTTTGTGAAGTGTTTGAGTGGTTCAGGACCGTACAAGGTGGTCAAGCTCACGAGAAGACAAGACAAGGCGGTTCTAAGGGCCAGTTCGAGACGCTTGAGCCATACGGCTCGTCGGCTCTGCATTTTTTTTTTTTGGTCTGGACACACTCTTTATGTGCTGACTCTGGAGGAATTGGTGGGTATAAGTTCCTATTTATAAGGTTTGTGGATACACAAGGACAACGTCAAACAGCAGCATCAGCACCTGTCTTGATGGCTCCGACCTTGATGGACTATTATATTCATTGCCTTGAACTTTCTGGTTACTGCTTTTTTGTATATTTACACTGATTTAACCCATATTGGACACTTCGGATTAGGTTCCGGTTTACCGGTTTTGGTTATGATTAGGTTTCGGTTAAGGGTTCTTAAACGAAAATTCGTTGGTACTTTGGTTTGGTCTAAAAACTATACGAACCGGACTGAAAACCGAATGGAACCTAAAATGTGTAATTGCTTGCAACGAATAGTTAAAGATGTACATTTTTGTTAATAATTGGAAAGTCTGAGAATTTAATTCGATTTTCAGTAAGAGGCACAAAGAACCTCTATCTGCAATTACTGATTAAAGGAAGCATATATTATATGGTTCTTTTATGTATTTTTTTTTCTTTAAATCGAATAATAAAAAACGAGAATCTTATTCTGATTATTTTTTATTCTAAAGGAACATATAATATTCTATTCACAATAGTTAATGTTCATTCAAGATTTGTAAGGTCGTTCGTTCGTGTCTTATTAATGAATAATTCAACCATATTTCTACTCCTTTTTTTTGTACATTAATGGAATATATACATACGAAAACAAATATCATAATATATTATATATATTAAATTTACGAAAACTAATCAGATACATATGGTAAATCATCGATTATTAATTAAATAAAAGAAATGTTCCATTATAACTTTTGCCAATTACAACTGAAATCCAATTTCCGATATTTTAAATTTCGATGTGAAATGACCATATGATCATCATGGACGGATTTTATAATTCTCATGGAGTTAATATTAAAAGAAACGGATACGGCTTTTGAAATCGGATGTATCAATCATTTTATTTTCGAAAATAAAAATGAAATAATTAAATAATAAAAGACGTGCATGAATTGTCATAGACGAGAAATAGTCGATAAATATAAATCATGTATTTTTTTTTTTCCCGGGGAATAAGAAATATGAGAGAATGGGAGAGTGGATGTGATCTGTGACATTCATTACAAGTTGATCATTATTTTTCAATTCATGGTTAGAGATGTTTCCTCCGCGTCGGGGAATAAACCCTAGTGGGTCGTATACGTACACGTGTATATATATTTGTATTTATTTATGTACTATTACCTACCAATACATATATATATATATATACATATATATGAAAAAGACACGAAATCCATCACTAGAGGTGAACATTAAATAACGCTCCAAGTGAGTTTTTAAAACAAATAATATTATATTGGTGGATGTTACAAAACATTGATTAAGATCTATGGAGCGCTATAAACCTTATGTTATAAGATAAAAATTATAATATCTATCTACGTCAGAAGCAAACACCCCTTGAGTAGGGACTAAAGCCTCCTTCTCACGCGGAGTCTTTCTAAGATAACAACAAAACCCCTCTATCTACATACATACATACATACATACATACATACATACATGACATGACATGTTTTTTTAAATTTGTATGGAAAACGTTTGGAACGAAGGGATTTTATTTTATTTTTTAATTTTAAAAAATATATGATATCCGAATTTATTTAGGTAACTACAATAGATGAACAAATAGGAAATAATGCCTAAAATTAGAATGTATAATAAATAAATGCAATGTGAAATTAGTCTATTCTTTAATGAAATTTGACGGATACTAAAGCATATAGTTGGGTGGGCTCATCATCAGGCAAATGCTTGGCTGATGAGTCAAGCCGTCAATATCACAGTTACATGCAAACATCCAAATCTATAAATTATTAAATTACAAAAACAAAATATAATGAAAATAACGTGACAGTTTAAATCATTAAATCCACGTCTTTTTTATTCATTATTTTTTTGTTTTTATTCCATTAGTAACTTTCGATTTAATCGATTTATCTAAATTCTAAAAAGAGAAAATAGTTGATATGAATTTAATCTCGAACTTTTTATTTTTTATTTCGACTATTATCCAATTACGCGATATCTTATATTTTTGTATGCAAACAATATCTTATGTTCGTCAAAAGTTTGGTAATATATATATATATATTCATGTTTAGTTTCGATGCTAATATTTATCTAATAGCTGGTGATCCAATGGTTGAGGGGTGACAGAGTCATCTTCAAGGTTTTGGGTTCGATTCTATTGGTGGGAAGAGATGTAATTTCTGGACCAAAATGATACTTATACAAAAACTGATCCCGTGTGATGTAGTCGGGTCGAAGACTCGGAAACCATGATTATAAAAAAATATATATTTATCTAATTTTTGTGTGATTTGGGCTTAGATTGGGAGATAAGGCTATTTAAATATGAGCTTCCCGTTTCAATTTTATTGGGCTTGAATTATCCAAAGAACAGCGTCATTCACTCCCCACGCGCACGTTCCGCGAGTAATGCTCACGCGCTAGATTCTCTTGCGTCAGAGTAATATTTTCACTAAATTGATTACTTTTATTTAGCTTCAAACTATATAATATTAATTGATGCTTAAAGGGAAAAAAAAACAATAATATCAACCAAGTAAAAGCAGTTAGCATACCAATTTGCATTATTTTTTTCGCCTTGCAAGTTAACAACAACGATACACTGTTAAAACATCAAGAGAATCACAACATGAGCTCGCTGGTTCCAAGGTGAGGCCTTAGACAAACCCTAACCTCATGCTCTTCCTCCTCTCCTCCTTTTAACTTTGGCACCATAATCTCCAGAACCGGAATCGCCCCGTCGAAATACGCTTCGATCTTTGCATCTTCTGGAATCCGGCTTGGCAACTGCACTTCCCTCACGAACTCCCCGAACGGGCAGTGCTCGGATCTCGGATCCGCCATCTTGAATGTTCGATCCCGTCTCTTGACAAATGGTGCACATGATGTGCTCAAACCCGTTATCTTTACGATCCCACGAGCTATGCTGTTCCTCCACGATACCTTCACGCTGCTCAGATCCACAAAGGGTAAGCTTACGATGATCAGATACGATTCTTGATCTTCGTATATAGTCTTTGCAGCTGTAACCGGACCATTCACGCTCTTCATCACGCCCGTGAATTCGTTTTTCCAGTTCGGTAGCTCCTTAGTATCCATGTTCACGGTCAAACAACATTCTTCTTCGCTGCTTCCTGGCGATAGAAACTCCTTTCTCTTCTTGCTGGCTCCAGCAGATTGATCTGATGAGTCCCCACCATTGCTGTGGAAAGATGGATGAGTTGTCAAGTGTAGCCCCGAGCCGTTGAGCAGCTTCTTCGTATGGGAATTGGGTGCTGCTTTAGTGGCATGAGTTAGCCTATCGAGCAGGAATTCAGAGTTGGGCAGATTTCTCCATGAACTGAAATCACTAGCTTCAGGCAGGATTGTGAAATTCAAGTCACGACCCGTCAGCTCCATCCATCTTTTCTTGTCTTCGTCGCTGAGACATAGCAAGTTCGGCGAAGGGAGAAACTCGATTCCGTGAACACATTGAGGATTGGAGAGCCCACGATAATGCTTTCTCTGCATCCTATGAGACCGGACAAACCCTTTCTCTGCACTAAACGGGAATGGACGTTCACCTTGCCTTGAATGCCCGTTCATGTAACTTCTCAACTGCATTTTCCCGAGAGCATTCTCAGGCCTTTCCTTGAAAACCCACATATAGATATTCTCCATATCGTGCTGGACAAGAAAAACATCAAGCTTGAGGTCGGATTTATCGAACCCAGTAAAGGAACCGCACTTGCTGTCACGCATGACCTTGCACTTGGATTTCTCATTCAAGGCAGGCCGGAAGTAGAAGCTGAAGAAGAACCAGGCACCCCAAATACTATCGCACCGTTTAAAACATTTCTTCGTGATCTTGTTAGGAACCACATTGAGGAAAGTCTCAGTCTCATAAGCCTGCGAGCTAAGCCCAACATCCAAAATGTTATCACAAGAATCTGAGATCCACGCTTGTGAAGGGGAGGAGCTTCGTCCTACCAGCAACGGCAGATTGATATCGGGCGGGTGGTAAAGCGTAATTTGCTGATTACCGTTACCATTTTTAATCTCCAGATCAAGCTCCTCATGAGACGAGGCACTAGAATCCATGGATAAGAGGGTGGAAGGGTGATGATTCTCCATTGGTAAAACGGTAAAAATCGAGCCTTTCATTTCCCAAATCACCTTCCCTTCTTCTCCATCTTGCTTCGTGGGGGTCAATAAGATTGGAAATGGGAGTGCGTCGTATCAATCTCCACAGGATCTCCCTTCCAGGAAAACCCTAGATTTCACAATCAGGAACCGAAATCCACGATTTTCCGATAAACCGGCATCGACAAAACCAAATGAGATCCAAATCCGGATTAAAAGAAATGCCAGAAATCTCTTCAATCTCTACCGGACGGAGAGACAGAAAGAGATTTGAGCGAAGACACTAGAGAAACACAATATCTAATCCTAACCCTAGAATCTCCCGAAACCCCCCAAAAACCGGTGGAAAGTACCGACCCAAACACATCAACCCCATCACGAGAGAAAAAAAAAAATTCCTTATCTCGCAATACCCACGATCCAAAAGGGATAATCACACCAAATTTTCATGAATCAGAACCCTAGAAACTGGGAGAGATCTTTCCCAGAAGAAAGTACCTTTCGGGATAAGCAATGAGAAATGGAGACGAAGAGACAGACCAATTGCATACACAGACCTCGTCCTCCATTTCCACCGTATCAATCAGCAGCTTCTTCACCAGGAGATCAAAGTCATGAGAAATTGAAACCTCCGGTCTGAAATTCTCCGGGACTGTGTGAACGAGAGGTGGTTATGTAAGAGAAAGCTTCGTGAGTCAGCGAGAGAGACGAAACAGCCTGAACTAGATACCACCTGACCGCCCACCCCACTCCCCTCTCTACCGTTAGTTCACGGTGACGGCTCCATGGATTTTTTTTAAAAAAAAAAATCTTTTTTCCCCGTAAATGGAATTAAAACAACATATAGAACCATACAAATTATATAGTTTTGAACAATTATTTCGAGTTTTATTTAGTTAATGTTTTCATTGGATTATTTTTATTTAAACGAATTATTTTATTGCAGTATTTTTTTATTATTAATACATTCATACCGATTTTCGTATCCATAGCCATGGGACAAGACTTTTGGATGTCGGTCATAATTTTGGAACGTGTAAATTCGATCAAATAAAATAAGTTTGACATTTTTTTTTGTTTTAATTGCCCGTTTAAATGAAACACATTGCTTTTTCCATGTAAGGTAATAACGAATAACAAATAAATATATATATATATATTTTGGTTTTGGTTAAAAAAGGATCTATTGGCTTTTTGTCTGCCAATTGCTAGGCGTACTTATCGTGGGGGTGCATGTGCTTATCAAATCCCATCAAATTTAAATAATTCAGCTTTCATTTCCAAATGGAATATGCATTATTGGTTTTATGTTTCCAACTGTCTGGGTCGGTCCAATCCAAAACTACAACACATTTTAAAAAATAAAAAAATAAAAACTTTGAAGTAATTACACGAATTGTCCCACGCAAAGATTTTTCTGCTGTATATTTTTTTTATTTTCTTATGTTTACGTTTAAATGTTTTTTTTTATTTTACACAAATTATATATACCCACTTATTATATTAAAATTTGATTTCTTTTAAAAAAATATATTTAATTTCCAGTAATCAAAAAATTATTTTATATTCAATTCAATTAATATTGTTTTTAAAAATATTATTGATGAGTTTTAAATAAAATTTAGTTCATATATAATCATATCTTGTTCGATTCAATTTGATATTATTTATACAAACTAAAATATTTGCATCATTTAAATAACTTGTAAATCTTTTTAACGCTTATAACGATAATTTATGAGCACATATTGCAATAAGTGAAACGGAGATTATAATTTGATATATGGCCACTTAATGCAAAGAATATTGCAGGAAGATAGAGATTATATTTTATTAGACAAATCAGTATTCGTATTTAACCCTGCCAAATATAATATGGTAAAACGGCCTACCTCGGTTAAGTTCGGATCAGGAGAGTATGTACATTACTTAAATATCATATCTTATGTTGTCTGATATATATATATATATATATATATATTAGTCAGAGGATCAAATGTAATTGTGACAAAAATATCAAATAATTTTTGTTATAATTGATTTTAATTTTTTTTAATCCGGAAATTCATTTTTGAGGTGAATGTCTTTAGGAATTTTTTTTAGTTTGACATATTTGCCTATTTTGATTAAATATCCTAATAATTTATATATGCGCTCGAATATATTAATAAAAAAAAGAGAGAAAAAGATGGGAAATGGGAAAAAAAGATAGGAAGAAGGAATCAAAACGACTTTTTTTTTTATAAAAAAAAAAACTCAATAATAGAGCTGGAGGGTCCATTGAAGTGTCCTAAAAAGATATTGGGAGTTTCCACTTATCACTATCCATATACGATGATGACAACTAAATAAATATATAAATAAATAAATATATAAATACAAAATCCGACTGTCCAAAGTCTCATTTGCAGTTGTAGGAGTCGCCAATATATAATCTAATGATATATATTTTCATCCATCAAACGATTTATGTGTGCTACTTAATGTTATTTTAGACAATTTGCTTTGAATGTAAGTTTATAATTTACATCGAAGTTGAATAATAATGTCAAGGGAATTACCAGGATTTACATATTTTTTTTTTTTGGATATTTTTGAAATTACGAGCCATGTTAGAGATATCAGAAAATTTTATCTAATTAATTTCTATTAATTTGCGAAAATCGACTCTATATAATATATATATATGTATTATATATATATATATATATACGGGGATGGAGCTGAAAGGGCAAGACGTGAGACGTGGAAATCATGCAAATTTGCAAAATACGGTGGAGCATGAATCGCGGAGGTTCGTGGAAATGGGATCCTACACCATTATAGGGAATTATATCGTATAATGTATTGCGAAATTATCGGTCTCTCGTTTTATATTTTTTGGTGGAATATATATATATAATTATATATATATACACACATACATACACACATATAATAAAATTTATCTGTGTATCATTGTGGTTAGATGCGTGGACCGCATGGTGCAAACATATACCGTACTAAAATATCACAGTTTTAAATATATATATATATATATATACATGATATAAAACCAAGAGAAAAGTGAAATGGAAAAACACACTTGTACAAAAAAAAAGTAATTAAATATAATATTTATGTAAAAAGACAACAAATGTCATCTGCAAAAAGTTTTTTTGTTTGTTGAAACATTGGGAAAAAAGTTATGATGTGTGTGTGTGTGTTTTTTTTAATAATAAGCAATTTTATATTCCATTAAAAAAAGTAAAAGTTAGTAAACTACAATTTGTAAAGTTGACTATTCTCATCTGTTGACAACATTTGTGGTAATATTAGTATAGCCATTTGGGTAAACCAAAAAACATATGAAACAAATTAGCTAGATTTATATACATTATCTCATTTGTTTCTTTAAGATGTATTTATACACACACACACACACACACACACATATATATATATATATATATATATATATATTAATTTTGAACTTGATTACTATATATTGACAAATTTATATACAGTTTTCTCATCTAAAAGAATTATAAGCACAAAAAATCTTTAAGTATTCATATTAATAGAAAAATGTAATTGGTTTAAATAGAAGTGGTAACATCATATATATAGACATATATATATATATATATATAGTTTTGCATGATTTGGAAGTTCAGGGGTTCAAATGGGCCGTGTTACTCATTTAGGCTTTATGAGATCCTAGAAGAATTAATAAGCCCAATATAGTTGAAGCCCATTAAGCCCATATTCGTCAGCCCATATACCACAAATAAACGGTGTCGTTTCTGGTAGTGTTTTTGGTTCAAAACGACGTGTTTTGAGCCAGCGGACCGATTCTGTATACCTGGTCGTGTTGTTGATCAGCCGTTTAGCGGGAACGCACAAATTTGTAACATCCCCACTTCTGCTCCTCGAATTGGAGTTCCGAAATCCCTAGATTACTCAAATTCCGCCATTGGAGTCTCCTCCGGTTCGTCACCCATCTCCCTTTGTTTCTAATTTTGTTGAGTTTTAGATGCGATCGCGCTCGCTTTAACCTTTGCACTCTTTGCTGATGTCTCATTGATTCGAGCTGTTTCTGTTTTGGTTTTTATTCTCTGCGTTTCGTTTAGGGCTTCTTGAGCTTGTGCGATATGCTTTACATCTAATTAGGTTTCTGTTTGGCGGAAGCTCGCGATTTTTTTTTTTTTGGTGTTCTGAGAAAGATCACATGGGTGTTTCATAATTCCTAAAAATAGGGGATTGATGGTAAACATATTCAGATGTTTTTTATCTGAATGTTTTATTGCTGCACTGATGGTTATTATGTGTGATTCTGATTATGTGATCATGTTCATCGTTCATCATTCTCACGGAGGCTATATAGACTTGAATAAGGGAATAGCGTTGGTGGGCTATCTACTTACTGCCGCTAGATGTGCTTGTGATATTTTTGGTGCATTGCGTTTGTTTTCAGTTACAAGATATTGGTTCGATGGGGATGAACTTCATCCGATGATGTTGGCTTTTACTGTTGTATTATCTCTGACAGTGTTTCTAATCACTTGTTATCTGTAGAATTATTACAGAAGATACATAGCAGCTGTTGAATTATAGAGATGGACATTGGCTGCTCAGGAGAGAATCATAGTCCTTTTGTCACTCCAAAGAGGCATAACCATTCTTCAACATTGGACAGAACTCCGGGACGAAGGAAGTTAGCACTTGATGATGAAAATGAAAATGGGTCAGTTTATGTTCAACCCCCCAAAGTCTGTCTGATTTTTGCGTGGAGCTAAAAGTTATTTTCCTTTTGCGTTGGGAAAAGGTCAGAGAAGAAAGGACACTCAAGAACTGCTGGAGGAGGACTTCGTCAGTTTAGTGTTATGGGTATGTTATCTTCGCATTTGAACCGTATATACTTTTTATTTCAAATTCCTTGAAATTTTCTTTGCTACATGAAAAAATGGAACACACTAAGCACAACTGAAAGTTTTACTGTTTTAGATATTTAAGTTTTGCTTTGGATTCTGATTCTTGATGGTAATATTAATGAGAATAGCTGATTGTTTTTTCAGTTTGCCAGAAGTTGGAAGCCAAGAAGATAACAACATATAAGGAGGTAATGAATTATTTTCGTCTAAATATATGGATACCAAATACCATGTCAGTTTCATTGAAGAAATGGTGATACTCTTGGTTGCAACCACAGTTTTCTTTAGCTAAGCCAAAGAGTCAAAGACTAGATGGAAAGTAACATTTAATTGAATTAAACTGTTTTGTGTCCAGAACATTTCATTAACATCAATCGAACCTTATATTTCGGGAACAAGCAGTTATTTCAAATAAAACCCCTGGATCTGGCTGTAGAGCCCTTCCTAGATCATGCGTCCGATTAGGAGTCTGCCCTTTGAGTTCTGTGTTAAAACATTAATTTTTTTTTCCCTGCTTGATCATCAACAATGAAAATCTGTGATTGAGATTTTTTTCTTGTGATTCCAGGTTGCAGATGAGATTATTTCGGATTTTGCCACAACACAGAATGACACACTGGGATCTTCAGAAGAGGTAAAGCATGATATGAAACATGACATTATATTTCTGCATTGTCAGGAGGAATATAAATCTTCTTTTTGTTTTTACAATTTATTAGTTCAACGAGAAGAATATAAGGCGGCGAGTCTATGATGCACTCAATGTTTTCATGGCGTTGGATATCATTGCAAGGGACAAAAAGGAAATCCGATGGAAAGGACTTCCTATTACCCGCAAAAAGGATGTGGGAGAAGTAAATGTATCTACCCCAGCACACACTCTTCATTTCCTTCTGTTACTACCATCTTGTCTTCCTTTGTCAATGCCTTCTGTGTCCGATATATGAATTTGCAGGCTGAACGGACTAAACTCGTGAACAGTGTCCAAAAGAAGGCTGCTTACCTTAAAGAGTTGGAAGAAAAGGTACTTCTATTTTGTCGTGTTTCTTATATCTTTTTTCATGAGAATTATGGAACTCCATAGTGATGTTTCAACTCTCAATATGCATTGCAATTTGCGAGGCAAAATCATAGCGACAAATTTCGTCAGGTTTCCTGGAACTAGTAATTGCCTGCGTGTATTTTTTTTTTTTCAACGCTCACTTGTTTCAACTTTCCAAGAGCATGTGTCGAATCTAATCTTGAGAAGCATTCATATATCATTCTACAGGTCGCTTGAATAATTTTCCATTAACCCGACTGTCTTAATGAAATGTTACCATCTTTCCAGTCTTGTTTAAACATTTACGGAATGTCTCAGGTCTTGGGTCTTCAAAATCTTACGTCAAGAAATCAGCAGGTGTTTGAGAAGTCTAAATGCCATACAGAAGGATTTACTTTGCCATTCATCCTAGTCCAGGTACACGAATTTCCCTGGTGGCATATCCTTTTGATCTCATAGTGCAATTTTATGTTCTTTGTCGTAGTGCTTAATTGTCAAAGAAATATGACATTCTTGACGCAATGAAATGTATACGCCCTTCATCTCCTCTTCTCAAATCTTCTTCAGACAAGTCCTCATGCAACTGTTGAAGTCGAGATCTCAGAGGATATGCAACTGGTGCACTTTGACTTCAATAGGTAAGGACTTCCTAACCAATTCACATCGAACCCCCGATTCAAACTCTCTTAAAATATACGAAATTTAAGGTTTGCTGAATCGAGTTCTATGGTTTCTGCAGCACGCCCTTCACATTGCACGACGATGCTTACATTCTGAAACTGATGCACCAACAGAAGCTGCAGCCAAATGCAAATCACCATACTTCTCAGCATTCCTCTGCTCTTTCTTCCTCCAGCTCTTGTGTTGTCTCTGGAACGACCGGCCCCGTCGTCTGGAACACCAATTCCACCACCACCCGCTGAGTAAAATCCGAATATCCGACTCTTTTTTTCGCTCTCTTGGTCTGTGGAAACATACAGGAATCAATTTGTTATGCTATCTATACATCTGGGTTAGTGTTTTAGAATAGGAAGTGGAGACTCTGGTAGTTGATCCTGTTTGGAGAGACTGTAAATGAACAATTCATTGGTAAAAAATGTCTATTTAGATTTCGGTTTAGGGTCTCCCTTACCATTTGTCGTCTTCTAAATCACCAACTCTCTGCACTCGCCTATGGAGACGTTGGGGCGTTTAATTAAATATACTTCGACTGAAGCCAGTGAGTGTACTTCAACAGTAATAATAATATTATAGTAAATAGGCAATGTGGACCGTTTGCTTCGGTCACTCCTCAACCCTTACGACAGCATTATAAAGTAGATTGGTCAAAATAGATTCCAAATATCCCATTAGACACAATGAAGAACTGCGGTTCATTCAGGTCCATATCTCACAAGAAAGGATTCAAGTAGAAAATCTCCAAGGGAACATTCATTCATCAAAATTCTCAAGCAAACATTTCTACCAAAACAAACTCGAATCACTTCTTCTTCTCGGAGACTCCACCAGCCCTGCACGAATGTTCAACCAAACATCAGTTTACATCCTTATCTAGCTTCAGACTCTTCAATCATAGCTTAAAACATAGGCTATGTTCTATTCAATTCTTCCGCAAATTCAACATTATGATTTGCTCTATATTCGCAAGCTATATAGTGTGAAGAGACCCCAAAAAAGCTGACCTCATCTTGCGGAGGACATTGGACATCTCTTCTCTCTTCCTCTTGGCTCTCTTGTGAGTACCCAACTTTCTCTTGGCGACCTTTAGGGCACGCTTGTCCTTTCCGACCTTCAAAAGCTCGGTGATTCTCTTCTCATAAGGAGCAAAACCTGCAACTTCCCTTATGAGGCTCCTAATAAAGAGAGTCCTCTTGCTTGTTTTCTGCATCACAGTAGCCCTCATCAGTAAACAATTGGGTAGGTTTCATAAACCCAAGAAAATATATGCAACAAAGGCCTCTAATACTTCAACAACAGTTGCTGAGCTCCATGCCACTTACAAAGATAGGTTGATACAATCAATCCTCTCACATATAGGATTAAGCAGGAAAACAGATAAAAGATTTTGAAACGAAAATGTAAAACCGCACGATCAGAGCATAGAGTTTCATGAACTCACTGACATGCTACCAATGTATGATTGAGATTTGCAAAAAAACTATGACACAACTCGGCAAGCAGCAGCAATGGCTTAAAAACCATAAATTAATTAACATGTATAGTTCAACTTTCCGTAATAGCACAAGAAATCAGCAAAGACCATCCAATTTACACAAACATTTAAACTTAAATACTGAACCAAATAAAGGAAAATCAGGGCATACCCCTTTGCGGTCAGATGGGCGAGGTGGCAGCTCTCGCTTGGTAACAATGTGTCCTTTATTCAACCCGACAAACAAGCCACTCTTGGCTTGTGCTGCGGCCATTTTTCTGCAAATACAGATAATACTACAATATTAACAACAGCATAAGGGCAAAGTTTTATCTTCTAATCTCAAATGTCGCTCTCAATCGATGCCACACGAGACAAGAAGACCGAATCAACTAAGAACAGAACACGAGTTCCTGGTAAAGCTACATCAGTTGAAGGAAAAATGTGCTATGGGCAGATACTAGAATGATTTTGGATGATCATCTACTCAGTCTTAAGTTCTTTCAACACTGTATAATTCCATTCACGAGAGCACATGACAAAATACGATATACTAGCATCCCCGTACACATCAACAGAACAACAATCGGACCATTTAGCTACGCAAATTCGATAAATTTTAAGCTCGGTACACGAAACCCTAACCAAAAACCATCGAACGATTTGAAATCGGAGCAGAAAAATCGATCCAATCACTCATCCATCAACAACAAGGAGGAAAATCCATATATAAGAAATTACCTAGGAAAAATGAGTTTGAATCTCCCAAACTCCGATTTGCGCCGAAAGGAGAGATGAAGGGGAGAGAGAGAGATCACTGGGAAAAATCTCAAAGTGGCGATATTTTATAAATCACAGACGAGAAGCCCGTTTAGGGTTTTAGCAATTCTCCTCTGGTGTTATATGGTTTTCCAATTCTACCCCTGCATTCTCTTATCACCTTGCTATGAACCCTAAGACCTAAAACGACGTAGTTTGAAGTAACCGGATAGCCAATTTGGGCCATGTAAGCTCATGGGCTTAAAACATTACACTCATCATATGTTGGGCTTTTGTTTCCTTACAATTTTTTTTTTCCAATCATAGATATATATTTTATAACCATCGACCCTAATTTTGGAATTTGAATGTATCACACAAATAAATATTTCAAAAGTAAAAAAAAAAATAATATCTAAGTTCATTTTATTTTTTACAACGATTTGATTTGTAATCTATGAGAGTGAACCAAGTGGAATCTCATTAAACCTACTAGCGTACGATTTAATTACACCAACGTTCGATTTTCTAATTCCGTTTTGTTCTTATAATTATAATTAAGCTCAACTAAAGACCACAAAACAATGTTATGATTCATGGAGGATGCGACCGCCCGTTATATGCCCGTCCCTAATAACATCGTACACAAAAAAAAAAATTCCAAAACTTTGGAATGTTCAATCAATTCGCATAAAGATCGAAACATCAGATTTCTCGACTTGTTACGACATAAAAATAAATTAGTTTCATAAAAAAATGTCGTTTCTCAATGAGCTCGTCTTTCGGCTTGGAGGAAATGACGAAGAGAACGCGGAGTGATGATAACGCTGCCACTGTTGTTGCGAGACACGGCATCGGTTGTTATCTTTGAACAGAGAGAGAAAATCCAAGGCTTGTTGTATGGCTTGAGATTCCTTCTAGAAGATTCTGTTCTTGTTCTTGTCGATCTTCTGGAAAGTCGTAGAATGTTTGATACGCCGAGTAGGCTTCCCAGTGTCATGCTGCTTCTGTCGTGGAGGAAGGACCCATTTGACTGAATTTCCAAAAGAAAAAACCCAACAAAAATAGTGAATTGAGGTTGTAAATACAATAAGTGACAGTGTAATGTTTTTTTTCTTTTGATAATAAGGATTTTTACTGTGTTTCGGTAAGTGCGGAGATAGTCTTTAGTTACGCAATTAACTGCGCTATCTTTTTCCATTAATAGAATCGATCTCATGATCTCGAAATGACTTTATCACAAAAGTGGAATGAAAACGTGCCCTTTTCAGGCATTAAAGAGCATCCAATAGGTTCGTGTTCTTTTTGTAGTCTTCTCATTCGACAATGACACTATTCTAACGTAAACCTTTAAAAAGAATCACGCCAAAACAAATTAATAAAAAAACAAAAGAACGAGAAAAAAAGATAATAAGTATATATATAAATATTGCATATGTGTATGAGTGTATGTAGAGGCTGACCTGGGAATCAAGATCAGAGGAAGAGAGGTGAGTGGAAGGAGAGAGAAGAGAGCTGGAGGAGAGAGAAGGAGAGAAGGGTTGATGATTGTTTCCGTTTATGATTCCTCCTCCAATTCTACCATTCGCCGTTCTCATCAGTCCCAGCGGCCATCCTTCCCCCACCTGCTCCCTCTCGCAACCACATTTACGCACACATTACACTTCTTTTACACACACACACGAGCACATATATATGTGTATAGATGTATGTGTGAAGATTATCCTATTGCGTTGGAGAAGTGTTTATTACCTGGTGAGTCATGGCTGGAGATTTTTTTGCAAGGAGAGGTTTGGCTCTTGAACTTGGGAATAAAGAGAGAGAGAGAGAGAGTGTGTGTATATATACATACATGCGTACATGTGGAAAAATGAACTTGGCTAGGAGTGCCCCATACTGTACAAAAGGTACACTCACTACATTTGTTTTTGGGGCTTGAATTTTTTTTAATTTAGAAATTCATTGAGACTTTTACCAGATGAATACCCTTTTTCAATTCGAGATTTGAACCTGGGTTAAAAATGAGTTTTACTCTTTTCGTTATGAGATGAGCCATCCAATCTTGATTCTTGGATACGGGTCGAGAAATAATCAAATCCAAAAACGATGATTTATTGATCTTAAATTCTTAATCATAGACTTTATATTCATGTTACTAAGAAGTCCGGCTGATTCGTATCAAGTATACATAACATATAATACTTATTTTTTTAACGAATCAAAGATTTTTACCAAATCTAGAGAAATAAAGGGTGAAAATTTTGCCATCTATTCCAACCTTAAAGAAACTAAAAGATCATATATCGAAGAGATGGTACCGTTAATCAAAGAGGGACCATAAATGTGAAACGGAAGAAGAAGAAAAGGGTGGTAATGGGTTTGGCAATGGACAGAGACAAGCTGTGTCGTCCTGTCCTGTACCTCGAGACCGACACTTTTTCTCCTTTTTTTTTCGGACCACACCCATCACAAACTCCATTTGGCCATGAATCATGATCCAGATCCCTGTCCTAAACCCACTTCTCCATTTTCTCTTTCTTTTTATTTTCCCAAAAATATTCAACAAAATTTTATAAAAATACACATAAAGACGTGAAAAGTAAAAAAAGCACGACCCCCACCCCTATTCATCGAATAAATCATGCGGTCCCATACTTCCCCCCTCTCTCTCCCTTTTTTCCTTTTTAGACCAATTCAAAATCTAACTATTACCAGGAAATTTCTCTGACATAACCTCCACAGTCTTATTACACTGTAAACCGCATGCTTCAATCAAGCATGTGTATGAAAAGTGAAAGTGAAACCTAATCAAATCTAAACCAAAACAGATCGAACACTACATTACTATGAAAATATTATAATATAATATATCTTTATACCATAATTTGGTTTAGAGCAAAGAGGTTACAAATACTTGAAACCGACCTAAAACGGTCATATACTCTAATACTGAAACAGAATAGATATGGCTTGCAACATAACAGGATCCCACGGCGATAATCAAATTCCATTAAAACAACATCCAGATGTATTCATCCTTCCTTAAGATGACGTATAGAAGTTGACTAGGCAGGGGTTCGTGAAATCACACTACATTTTCTCTGACACTTCTACAGTGTGCAGTCCCAATTTAACGAACCACGATATGAAAACCCGCCTGATGCATTTGGGAAATGTGATTAGAGGAAGGGTACATACCTTTCCCTTTTTTTGGGTATTATTTCCTCCAAAGTTTTTGGAACCATCTTCAGGTTTGGGTATGGTTAAGAGTAGTTTTTTGCTTGGTACTGATAAGTCGGGAAACAAATGTTAGACACATTGAAGTGTCAGGTCACCGAGGGAACTGGCTCGAGCCTGGTCGATATTCTCCTATTCCCAGAAGGTCCTACAAAGAAAGAGTTTCGAGAGGTCATTAAGTGTTAACTAGTAATTTCCTTTTATCTAGCGGAGAACTGCCATAGCTGCAAGCGTTTTAAACATTTGCAGTCCGAATTACAAGTTCCTGAGAAGTTCATGTGCTTCAATAGCTTGAATAAAAAAGATTCAATATATGAGTCACAAGATCGTGGTCTACCGATCTATTATCTATCAGATGCTAAATTTACCAGAAAAAAAATTGCAAGGTCATCCAGATCAATGACACTGCAAGTGACAAAAATCAGTTTCATGAAGGTATATGTTAGCAAATCTCATATTTGGTTAACATGAATAGAGTTTTCTGGAGATCAAAAGGCTCTCTTAACAAGCCCCTTTAATTACATCTACCTAACAGAGATGACAGAAGAAAATTGAAATTCCTGGAGACCTAGAGAACCAATCGATGGCAAATCCTAGTTGCAGGGCCTCAACTGTTTTGTGCGATGTAAGGCTATGATATCTATATATTTTTGTTAGAAAACTCTCTACAACAATATTTCAGTCAATGATTCAATAAGCTTCTTATCCTACCAAAGACTCATCATGCTGATGGTTTTAGATATAAGAAAGGAAGTATAATTTTGTCATTGATATAACAACCTGTGATGAAGCCACGGAAGAGGAAGTATACCTGGCAAGCCCTGTTCTTGGCTCGTGTCTCTGCTGTGCTGGGGATATCATGATTTGGTTTCATAAATCTCTTCTCACGTCGCTCACATGAGCCCCATCCATCAGCGAACCTTCCTCCGCTGAAATCCAGAAAGAGAAGATGTAAAACAAAAAGTTCATACTACAAGACCTGTGGGCTCAAGACATTACATAGGCTTGAAGGAAAGAAAATACTGCATGTGGGCTCGAACGATGAATTCAGCACGCTGGACATTTTTGTTGTCATCGAACTCAATGGTCTTGTCTCTTATCTCATATGACACATTGAAGTAAAAAGATATTTTCCTCCAACCTACACATTCCATATAATTCGACATTAAATCAATTATCTCATAACAAGCTATAAACTAATGGTTAACTAGAAACAGAAAAGCAAGCATCTGCTTCACCTGACTTTTTAATGTACATGTTCCCGGAGATTGCAGTGTAGTCAGATTTCTCTAAAATCTGTAAGATTAATAAGACCATGTTATCATGTCACAAAATCAGACCAAGGAAACAAAAACGTTTATAGGAACACATCGGTGGACGATAAATATACATTATACAAGAAATTCAACTTCGCAGAAACATTAGCACAATTTTCTTGAGGATTTACAAGGAATGACTACACACAACACAACCCTCAGCCCCAAACATTAATCATGGTATTGATGCAAGTAGAACTTTTTTCGAATAAAAAGCATGGCCCGAATTCTAAGTCTCTAACACTGCCCTAATGAAGTTTATGCTTGTATAAGCGTTTTAGCAGCAAACAGAAGCACATACACACACAGACACGCGCTCTCTTCCTGTGTTGCAGTGGAGCGAATATTAGCAAAACAGCCTAAATTTAGCTCATTTTGATCTTCAAGTTTCTCCTGCTATTCACTTGAACACTACTTACTGAATCACTGATACACACACACATGACCGAGAAAGGATGTCATAAACAAGGTGTACTAATAAATACAGATTGAGCAATCTCACATTTTATCCAGCACCTTCAAGGCCCTAACTCTACCAATATCAAAAGGAACAAGGATGGATGCTAACATCTCTCATCTAAGAAATTTGATTATTGTTCAGAAACTTCCAAATCTCATAGCAATTCCACGGCGTATAGCAAATATAAGCATATAAAAGGCAAAGAGGAAATCTGAGATACCGCCGTGGCTGTATTCTGAAACTCCTTGAACAAAGCAACCGAAGGAAATCTACCGGACAAACTATGCCGCATCTCATTCACTGCGTCGTTATGCACGGAGCCTGACGGCGGAGAAACGTTCGTACATGTCGATAACCTACCAACCTCCGGCGACAAGTAACTCTCCGGTGAAGAAAACGCAGTTGCCTGAAACTTCGGAGTCGAAGCCCTGTGTGTTGACTTAACCAGAGCCAAATGACTCTCGCTCTTTATCTCAGACACGGCGCAGGATCTGGCCATCTTGTTCGGACGCGGCGATTCCTCGACGTGGTGGAGGCGGCGACCAGAGCTAGGGTTAGGATTAGAAAGGAGCTTAGACGGAGGAGAAGGATGAGAGACCGGAGTCGGAGGCGAATTGTAGTTGGGATATCCAACGGCGAGGGATTTCGGAGGTTTTCCTGCGGCGGCGGAGACAGAGACGGTGAGTGAGTGGGACGCGGCGGCGGAGTCGATCACCGCCCACAAATCAGCGTCGTCGAGGTCTCTGTCATCGAAGGTGTAGGAGGAGACCAGCGACGGCGACGGAGATGCCATGGAGGAAGAATCCCCTGCCGATCGTTTCTTCGAAATCTGAAAATTAGATCTTCGACTTTCCCCAATTTTAGGCGGCAACTTACAAATTCAAATTCTCACAAACTTTCCTAACCATTTAGAGGCTTTAACATGTACCTGTAACTATACAAATTTGAATCACAATCTAAAAATATAATCCTAATTAAACTGCATAATATAAAAGAACAATTGATATAATATTTTAAAAATTGAAAACCGATTATCTAATATAACAGAAAAAACTATTTTTTTAAAATTAAACATTTTTATCATTAAAAATCAAATCTAAATCCTAACGAATCTAATAAAAATAGAATGAAAACATTTTTAAAACGAAAAACCAAACACGAATATAACCGAATCAAAAACCATAATGTAAATTTCTAATTTAAAAAGGGCTATACAAAATCTTCTATCAACTATTACTTTGGTTGATCTACCGAATTGTGTAGTCATGAAGTGGAGTAAGAAAACAGAGAGCCCTGACGGCTGACTCGTCGGGGAACTCCGAAGTTCTGATAAGCTCGGATTTGGCCGGTAACCGTAGCGGTCACTATCACCATTCCCCAAGCCGTGGGCTGTACGGAATGTGACCCGTGTCCTCCACTTCCGTCGAACCATGACCATGACGACAGCCGAGACGATATAGACGATGATGACGACGATGACAACGACTCTCCATTGTTGTTTTCTGCCTCATTACACGACATCTCTGTATCCGTTTCCTCGCCTTCAGTGTTTTTGTCGTTGTTTTTCTTCGGGAGTGGCGGGAGGCCGGCGGGTTTTTTACCGTTCCGTCCGACAGGCGGTGGTTCGCCTTTTACGACGCCGTTCCATGGGACTGCTACTGAGACGTCCTTGCAAGCGAAGCTTTCGTATGAAGATGAGGTTGGAACGGTGGTTGTTGCTCTTCTGCTGATAATTCCTGGTCGTCGTTCTTCGTGTTTCCAGACATAAACCTGAGCATCTTCACTTGCGGAAACTATGTGTTTGGCATCTTGAGTGTAATAAGCCGCGATCTGGCTGCTCGTGTTTCTGAAACCTGACACATATTAAAAGGGAGATAAATTTCTGTTGGTCATATGGTAAAATCTTGCAAATTCTGATCAGAGGGGTTTCGTAAGGTGCCTTTGAATTTGTGAGTGAGTTCAGTCCCGTTCAAAATCCGAATGCGGGAATCAGCCGAAGTAACGAGAACTTCTGATGGGTTAATTGGGGAAAACTGTTTCATAAAAAATTCTAAAGTCTGGTTACAATCTTTAATGCTGGAGCTGGTGAAGAAGTTAGATGAGAAACTTGGGGAGAAAGATGAGAGCAAAACCTGGAATCCCGTGATCTTTTTAGCTTGAGCTTTCTTCTTGTATTGCATGTCAATCTGGTTCGTTTGTTCTAATTTGCATTCTGTCCATCGGATCAAAGCGCTAGCTCGTGATTATATGAAGAATTTGAGCCCCGAAATGAAGTTATGAACTAGAAATAACCAAATAAGGATAAGTCTTGGTCATACCTTCTGCACTGTATAGCCGGCAGTTCCCTTTGTGTGAACCAACAAATGCAGCCTTCACTCGTAACCAAAAGAAGATGCAGATTAAAAAAAAACTCCAGCTTGTTGAATCAGATTCCTGCAAAATGCAAGAAAACGGTACCTGGCCGTCGGGAGCATAGCAGACTGCAGTAACCATTTCGTTGATATCACTCCACTCCACGACCTGACGATTGGGTATGTTCCATATTCGAACCTTGCCATCAAGGGAGCCACTGATGAAATAATCTTCATCCAATGGATTGAACTGTATGCAAGTCACTGTGATTAAAAAAAAGGTGCTGACATCAACTGTTTTCGATTTACTTTGATTAAGACAGTTTTCAAGTGGGGAGCACTTACCATAGTCATTGTGTGCAAACAGCTTCAGACAGCTTTGAGTTTCGATATCCCATAACCGTACAGTTTTGTCCATAGAGGACGAAAGCAATTGCTGAAGAAGTTTTGCAAGAGTAAACCACTACACTGATGGAAAGGGAGAAGCACTGACTATTTTTACGTTACAGACAGCGAAAGAGAAGAGGATCTAACCTGCGAACGTGACCAGGACAAGTCCAAAACATCATCCAAGTGACCAGAAAGAGAGCATATAGGTTTATCCGACAATGAGAAAACGGTTTCAGGAACATGGACATACTCTGGGATTTGACTCCCTTTCTTGGCTGCTGAATTTTTCCCTTTCTTCTTCTTCTTCTTCTCTGATGGCAGTGTCAAAACATCTTCGGCAGCAGGGGATCTATCGAGTAAACCAGACATGGAAGGATGAAGAGGTGTCAAATTTCCTTCATTCATGGACATAATTTCACAATCCTGTACCTCCCACACTAGCACTGTTCGATCCTCCCCTGCACTCGCCAACCAATGCGCATCTAAACTGAACTTCATTGTCCAAATTGCTCCCTTGTGAGCTTGAATATCCTGGGACATATGCAAGGCACTTAGCTCTTTATGCGAATATCCTGACTGTCTCACTTTCACCCATTGATTCGACTGGTCACTGCTCTTAGCATGTTTCTGGTCTGTTTCTTTGGGGCTGTTGGGGCCATTGGCATTTCCATTTGGTTCCTTCTCTGAAACCCTCAAGCTCATAGAATGAGCAACATCCTTTATGTTCTTCAAAAGAGCAGCCCCTGTCTTCTTACTTATCCTTAAGCTCTTTGACACATATGAATTGATTTTACTCGAATCAATGCTCGACGTTACGTTTTCTCGCCGCATAAGCTCCTTAACAGCCGGCGAATACCCAACACTCTTCTCGAATTCTTCCATTGTCAATTGTTTACCGGTTTGCAGATCGCTGAGTCGATTCCACATACCATTCTCGCCAGACTCCTTCACCACAAACTCTTTC